CTGGATTGCTAATGGCAAGGTCAGCAGTTTGAACTCATCAGGCCATCCTCAAAGGGCTTTTTGCTCCTGTTAAGATTTAAAATGTTAGAAAAACCTCAGGCAGCTCTACTCTGTCCTGAGTGATGCTGAGTTTGGTTAGGTGGGCCTGGAAGTCCAACATTCTGCCTGTCTCGTGCTCCTGCTGCTGTCACTCCTCTGAGTGAGTGACAGCCATCTGCAGAAGGGAAGGAGGTTCAGGGCAGGACCTCAAGGTCCAGAGGGCGTGCATCAATCCCGGATCATCTGTCCTGAAGGTAGTGAGATCTGAGATGGCAAAACTGACCAAACCTCATGTTGAGAGTTTCGCAAGCCTACTTGCATGTCTCCACCCCATCATTTGGTGGAAGTTACAAAGATTACAGCTAGAAGTGGCAGTTAGTAATGCACAGGACCAAAGCAGTTAATTATGCTTAGTATTGAGCCATATTTTATTTCTAGGATTTTCTTTTGCAGTGTCATCTGATTACAAAGGAATGATTAGACAAAACAAAACAAAACCCAAAATAAAGCATCAAAAATAACAGAACACCCAGTGAAGCTCAATCACAGTGGCTAGGCTTTATATCTATGCTTTCTATGCACAGTACTAAATTAAAAAATCTTTAATATAGAGGAAATACAACCATTCATTCATTTATTAAAGTTTACCAATTTTATACTAAAACATGACAGCACACACCACCCATAAAACTCTTAAGAATAGCATTGAAAAAAGTCTAAGATGATTATTGTAATAAGACATACTACTATATTCACATTGACATTCTTTTCTTAATGGTATTATCAGTGTGTGACAGGCTTAAAATATACACAGGACAAAGATGCTTTTCAGACAAGTGAGCCTTTCAGAAAGAGAAACTGGTTTTGTATCCAAGTTCACATTAATTCTGAAACAATCTATCAGAGCAATCCATTCAATTCCATTTAGTCTTGCTGTTCAAGGTTTTACAGTTTTCTCTCATTTAAAACACACACATATATGCAAATAACATCAAGTCAACCAGTCATACTATTATATAAAAATAGAAATTATTTTATGAGTTAATAAAAGTGAAACTGATTCACAATACTGGGCTTCAAATATTTTTTAAGTTCAAAATCAAATTCTGAATAGATGTTAGAACCTTATGATTAAAATACTAAAGTCTTGGCCAAAGGTACTAGAAATAGTTCACTTCACATCCTGCTTCATGGCACTACGGTAAATGACCGGCTCGCCATGCCTGGATTAAACACTATTCAAGTCCAAGTGGAAGCATTCCAATTTACTCTTTGGGGAATACCCGTATTATAAAAAATCAAAGCCAGACAAAATAAAACACACACACACAAAGTAGGCTATCAATTTTTTCTAAGGTACCAGAATGTAAAAGCATCTAGGTTTTCTAAAAAGCACCATATCGTATATACTTGTGAATAAGCCTAGTTTTCCAGCACATTTTTAATGTAGTTTTTGTGGTAAAATTAGATGCCTTGGCTGATATTCGGGCCAGTTTATACTCGAGTATATATGGTAATCTGAATTATGCAAATTATGAGGTCAATGTAACCTTGAACTTACAGAAAAGAAAAATATTTATAATAAAGAAAAGTTTTCATTATCATCTTCTGAAAGAAAGTAAAGATATTTCTAAAATTTCCCACTGCTACTTTATAACAAGATTTAAGCATTTGGAAAATAATAGTT